CAAAAGCTGAAGCAGAGGACAGAGGACATGAAAACCCTCACTGCACATCCTCTGTAGTCTGGCCAGAATCATTCCTAGGTCGATGGTCTCTTATCAGGAGGGAATGCTGCTTGCTTGCTTTGTCAAAACCACAAAAGGCAGGGAAAGTATCAGGCTGCTGGTTGATAACAGTAGTGAAGCAAGTCTTTCCAAAGAGTTGGTTTGTTAACCCTTAAGAAAAAAAATTCTAATTCTTACCAGATGGTGTTGTGCAGTTCCAGGCTCTTGGCGTCCCAAACAAAGAACTGTGCATGACACACACAAAGCAGCAAAGCAAAGCAAAAGTTTATTAAGCACAGTAACACTCTCAGAGTGGGGAGAGTGGGCTGACCTCTGCGAGATGAGATCAGTATTAGTTTGGTGTACTTTGGGTCTGTTTCTGTATGGTTTTTTTTCTTCTCTTCACGAGGATGCGTAATCTTTAGCCAGTGTTTGCCTTTAGATTCATAGGTGGGTTGCTTAGTTACTTTGGCCCTTGTGTGCTTGCACATTGCCTCCATCTCATAATTTTAAGTAAATGCATGATATGCAGTCCATATACCTGAGTTTTAATGAGCTGATTATCATATAGAGTTATGTTAAGGATACTTTTTTTCTCGAATGCACATTCTATCTCTGAGGGGCTGCCCCTTTACTGGTTTGGATCTTGACAGCAATGGGGTCCTTGCTTGCTTTTTTTTTTTTTTTTTTTTTTTTTTTGAGACAGAGGCTCTCTCTGTTGCCCAGTCTGGAGTGTAGTGGCGCAATCTCAGCTCACTGCAACCTCTGCCTCCCAGGTTCAAGCGATGCTCCTGTCTCAGCCTCCTGAGTAGCCTGGAGTACAGGAGTGCACCACCACGCCCAGCTAATTTTTTGTATTTTTAGTAGAGACAGGGTTTCGACAAGTTGGCAAGACTGATCTCAAACTCTTGACCTCAGGCGATCTGCCTGCCTTGGCCTCCCAAAATACTGGGATTACAGGAGTAAGCCACCGCACCCGGCCTTGCTTGCTTTTTTTTAATCTTACTTTTTGTTTTCGCTGCTCAACTTCTGCCTTTTTTCTTGCTTCTTGCTCTTCTGCCCCATCACCTTGCTTCTGTTTGTGCCTTTACTCATTGTGTCTTTTATCGAACTTCCAATTCCCTCTCCTGTTCTCCTGCCTCATAATGGCAGTTAGTGAGGGAGGGATTTTAAGGGGGCATGTCCGACCTCCTATTCTGTCACAGCCAGAAACAGCTTTCAAGGTTTCTCTGCGGTCCTCTCAGCCAAGAAGGGGTCGGTTCAGTTGGTTGTAGGGCCTAGGGCTTATTTTTATTTCTCAATCCTGACAAGGGAAGGCTGGATTAATGCAGATTTTCTGCAGGTATAAATTTCCCCTACAAAAGACAGTTTTGCAGAGTTACTTCTGTTTGCTGGCTCTCTGACAGCCATCTTAAAATATGCCAAAGAAATATATTCTGGGGTAAAATATTTTTATTTTCTCCATCTATCTACAGCTTCATCATGCTGACAGCGTCCAGTCCAAGCATACCTGAAGCCTTTCTTTTTAAAAAGCTTTCCCACCCTTCTGACTGCCTTCAAGTCTCTGCCAAAACACAAGTAATAGTGGCTGATCCCCTGCTATAGCAAGCTCAGAATAAATAGCCTTTGCTTTTTTTCCCATTTGATTGGTCTTCGTTTATTTGCAGAAGCTTCAATGTAGAGTTGACAAGAACTCCATCTTTGACCAAACCTTAGTAGTTTCCTCTGAGCCCTTTTCTCTATTAGTTCTTTGCTTGCCAAGTCCAGTTTTAGAAAAGAGTACTGTTGAGTCTAGTTTAGCAAGAGTCCTCCCAACCACCTTTGATAGCTAATCAAGTTCCTCTTAGTAATTTTCCATCTACTGACTTTCTTACCTTGCCAACTGGCTATAATCTTCGACTCTTCCTGCTGTATTTGAGGTTGAGCTCAGTTCTCTGTTGGTCTCTCTTGCCTACTGTAGTACGTACAATAAGATCTGTCTGATGCTTTTAACAAGTGTCCAGTGTAGTCCCTCAGAAACTACCTTTGCAAAATTGTGACAATAAGAGAAAGCTGACATGGCTGACTCCATCTTGGTTCTAGCCTCACAGGCTGGCTGTCTTTGCTCATTCCTGTGCAATTTCTCCCAAGCACTCTTTGGGAAAACTTTGTGTTTATAGTTTAAATCAGAGATCCCCAACCCCCAGGGTCACAAGACAGGTACTGGTCCATGGCCTGTTAGGAACCCAACCAAACAGCAGGAGGTGAGCTGCAGGCTTTGGAGCATTACCGCCTGAGCTCTGCCTCCTGTCAGATAAACATCTGCATTAGATTCTCATCAGAGCTCGGACCCTATTGGGAACTGCGCATGTGAGGGATCCAGATTGCGCACTCCTTATGAGACTGTAACTAATGCCTGATGAACTGAGGTGGAACAGTTTCATCCAGAAACCATCCCCTTCTATGGAAAAATTGTCTTCCATGATACCAGTCCCTGGTGCCAAAAAGGTTGGGGACAGCCAAAAAGGTTGGTTTAAATGATAACCTTCCCCAAAACTAAATTACCCCTGTAAAACTAATGAAAGGCCACCAAGTTAGAAGGATGAAAGGGGCCTGAATTCTACTAAGATGTATGCCTTGTTAAATAATTATCAGCCGTTATTCCAGAGGTCGCAAGATTTGCAGCTTCCCCAATTACTGCTGTGAAGAACATCACTATTGTAGAACCTAAGATTGGCCTCTTGAGATGTCTTTTCAGGCTTTTGCATGTCTGACTACTGGATGGCACCATTTGGCCCGAAAATCAACCAGTCCCTTAGCCCCCACCCAGAAGCTGACTCAATGCGGGAGGGCCATTTTTCACACTCCTGTGATTTCATCCCCAACAATCAGCACTGCCCAAACCCTAGCCCCCTTCCCACCAAACTATCTTTGAAAAACCCCTTACCTCCAAGCCTTCAGTGAGATCGATTTGAGTAGTAACTCTGTCTCCCACAGGTTGTGGCTGGCCTGTGTCAATGAAACTCTTTACTGCAATGCCATGGTCTCCACGAATTGATTTTGTGTGTACAGTGGGCAGGAAGAACCCATCAGTCAGTTACATCTGCAGGATGGTGCCAGTTCTTTCCACAAAGGCTGGTCAGATACCCAGAAAGTATTTCTCCACTATTACGTGGACCGTGTGTCTCTCTGTCACTATCCAGGGAATGGGGCCTGGCTTTAGTATTTAGTATTCAGTAGTTACTATACTGTCACCTAATCCCTTGTTTTCAATATTTTTCCATAACTTCCAGTGGCCTGACTGGCCACCATGCCACAGAATCTTTACTTTATGAATCTTTACTTGATGGTCTCCAAGGAGAACTCCCCATTCGATATTTTGTGATTTGAGCAATGGAATAGAATGTGATACTGGTAGGCTGGGGGAGGTCCCCAGACAGGTGGGATCTCGACCCCAGCCGTGGTTGTCAGGCTCTTGATACCATCTCAAGAACGAAGTCAAGGATGAGTCCGCAAACACTGAAAGAAGAGATTTATTGCAAAGCAAAAAGTACACACTCAAAAAAGGGGAGTTCATGCATACCCGAGAGAGAACAATGGGTTCTGGGGTTTCATCTTGATGGGTTACTTTAACAATGGAGTGGAATATTAATGAAAATTCCTGGGTAAAGGTGGAGATGTCTCGGAACTGTGGTGCCATCCATTTTTACATCAAACATTGGTCTCAGAACTGTCATGGCACTGGTGGGTGTGTGATTTAGTATGTTAATGAGCATATAGTGAGGGCCTAGGTAAAACCTACATTAAATCCAGCACCACATTGGGTCCAGTCAGTCTTACCCAGCTTGGTCCACACTGGTTTTTCAGCGTCTTATGAGCCCATAACCTTAAGTCAGGTAAATCTGCTGCCTAGAATTTGTTATCCTGTGACCACTCGGTATTATTTCTGTCTCAAATCTACTTGGAAATATTCAAATGGTCTTTGACTTGGGCATTCCAACTTTGCTTACTTCACAGTGTTTCTTGCACCGTAATCCAATATAAGAAAAGATGATCCAGACATTTGTTAAACATCTCAAATAAGATGGATCCCAGGTATTTGTGTCAAATTTGGATTATTTTAGTTTTTGTCTTTGCAGAATATAAAATACTAACATGAAGTAAGCACTAAGGTCTGGAGATGGCTGTGCAAGAGATGACAAAGTCCAACACCACGTTTGAGAGTATCCAATAATCTCTTCTGGGGCAGCTTGTTTTTCTACAATACTGAATTTGGAAAAAAAAAAAAAAAAAAAAAACTACGAGATTCATGAAACTGGACAACTGTCTTTATAACATTACCAGTGATAAAATCAGTAAGGAAGGCTGGTTTGCAGTCATCTGAGCAGCCTCTTTACTTTCATAAATATGGTTTCTCTCTGATATTAAACTGCTTCCAATTTCAAGCGGAATGCTACAACCCAAGGATAAGGACGTGAAGAGAACGGTTTCTTTTGTAATCCTAAACGTTCCAGTCTGCGAATTAAAAGCCATTATTTGAAGAAGCGTTCCCGGGCTCCATCTGGCCACGGAAAGCTTGCTACTCAACACAGGCCAACAACCAGCTTTTTTGGGAGAGAACAGATGCGGGGGCAGGAGGGAAAAAAGAGAGGCAGACGTCACTTCCCCCTTGTGGGCTCCGGAGCGGGTTGGTCTGCTGAGTGACAGAAAGGCAGGGACTGGGAAAGGCACTGTCGGTGACATCACAGGGCGACTTCTATGTAGATGAGGCAGCGCAGGGGCTGCTGCTTCCCTACCTGCTGCTTCCCACGAAGGAGTCCCCGTGCTGTGGGAGCGGGTTCGGGACCGCTGGTCGGACCTGAGAGTCCCAGCTGTGTGCCAGGACTAGAAGGGCTCGGGAGTGCACGGGGCAAGTGACCTTGTGTGTAAAGGGTGAGACGTATGAGGCTGTGGCGGGGCGGAGGTGCCTCCGCTCATACTTACCTGGCAGGGGAGATACCATGATCATGAAGGTGGTTTTCCCAGGGCGAGGCTTATCCATTGCACTCCGGATGTGCTGACCCCTGCGATTTCCCCAAATGTGGGAAACTCGACTGCATAATTTGTGGTAGTGGGGGACTGCGTTCGCGCTTTCCCCTGAACTATTTAGTTAAAAGAATAGGTTGTGTACTAAAGTTTGTGTTGTGTGTGGCGTGTAAATGTCATTCTTACCGTGGAAGGTTGGAGAATGGTAAGTAACATATCGATTCTGTCAGAGGAGAAATAAGAAGCGTCAGCCTTTGCAACATAAGGTAACCACCGTGAATGCCGCACAGCTCTTCCCTTTCTATGCGGGGCTGCCTTCTGCAGAGATTGGTCCATAGTCTCCAGTGTCTTGGGTTCTCACGATCTGTACAAATCTTCGTGTTTTTCCCTACCCCCAGTCACCTTTTATACAGCTTCTGCTTCTAACTCAGTAGGCTTTCTGTGCTGGGGGGAATGCGTTCTCACTTCATAGAACCAGGTACAAACTACGCAGACGGGCGCTGTTCTTTGGGAAGAAAACAGGGCCTTTGGAGCTCTTAGTGTCCCCGCTGGGTTGTATACATAACATGCGTACTTTGTGTAGGGGAACGGCTCTCCCAGCGCCCAGGTCTCACATGTCTTGGCGGAAATGCGCTGCGATCCTCCCTGAAATGTAAGGCAGGAAGTTTTACGAGGAGCCGGGTCCAGTTTCCCTACTATTTCCTGCCGTTTACATATCTAGTCTTTCTTCAGACTTTATTCAAGTGACAGCTGCTTGTTTGATGTCTCGCTTCCACATCCTACATCCATTGCCAGGCAGCTTTCTAGGTAGCACTCCCACCCATCCTTCCCGCCCCCAAGCAGCCCTTTCCCATTTCTGGCGCCAGTGTCCTCCCCCTTCCTTCTTTCTTCAGGCTCTCGCTTATCACCTTCATGGACAGAAAATACTTAGCTCTCTCTCAACCTGCGGTTTACACCTGACATGCGTTAGTACTGTCTGGGTGAAGGGGAAAAGGACAAGATGGAGGAAGGTGAACAGAAAAGACGCACCCCTTACTACTTCCGGGTTCTTCATCATCCAATTTACCCGCGGGCCTGAAAATGCAGCCCCCAGGGAAAAAAGCAGACCAACTGAGCAGGCGCCATGTGACGTCAATTTGAGGAAACGGAAACTTACTACGGAGACGCCCCTGGCACGCCCTTATCCCACCCACTGCCCTCCCATTTCCAAGCCCAGGACATAAAAGTCGCCGTAGGCAGGCGCCAGCGCGAACTTCCCCGGCCCCATTGCTTGTGGACCTCGCCCAAGAGCCCTGACCCGTTGGTCAATAAAGTTCTTTCTTTCCTACCACTTGCCTCCAGCGCCTAACTCTTTCCTGACTAAAAGAAATTAAATCAAGTGCCCTGGCAAATTCCTTAATACCCCTTCTCAAATGGCACTGTAAATTCATCTCTTTTTAACTCCCAGAAGTATCTAATTGGCTTGTCCCTGCACTACGTGAATACTAGTATCCACTACAGAAGAAAACCCCAGGCCTAGCGATGGCGGTTCTGGGCATTGTGCCAGCCTCTCCCAGGGTATGTTTTCTGACCTCACCTACTTCTGATCAACTGAGGTCAGGAGTTCGAGACCAGACTGACCAATATGGCTAAAGTCCCGCTCTACTAAAAATACAAAAAAAAAAAAAAGCCCGGCGTTGTGGTGTGTGTGAACCCGGGAGGTGGAGGTTGCAGTGAGCCAAGATCGTGCCGTTGCACCCCAGCCTGGGCGACAGAGCGAGACTCTGTCTCAAAAAAAAAAAAAGAAAAGAAAAAGAAAAAATTAATCCATCTGAGACATATTATTGGAGACGGTAGAATCCTGCATCCAACAGGCACTTGGTGCAGATCTGAACCCATTAAGCTATTGGCTCATGTTCCCTATGTTCTATTAAGTATCGTGAGCAGAAATTGAGCTCTTTAGCTTTTACTCACTAAGTATGGCTATACGGCAGGTGTCTCTCTCTCTCTCTCTCATGTTTGCATCATTATTTTTTTGCCATCAGTGTGGGTTTTTGGTTTTGATGTTATGAAGTGAATTTCTGGGGACAATCTCTGTTGGGTCGTGTTGATAAGGATTCAGTCCCTGTCTGGACAGCTAATCTGGTCTGTGAGTCTTTTTTTATTGTCTATTCATTGTCCTGAGAATAATGGTATTTCCTGATATTTGAGACTGCAGCAATGAGAAGTTGTTCATATCTTGTCTTTCCAATGTTTAGTAAAAATGTTATGGGCCCAATAGTAGTCAATATTGGCAAGAGTGGCATCACTGTTTCAAGAATGATCTTACTACTCAATGTCCCCCCTCCCACCCAACTTCATTCCATAGGAGTTCTTGGCTTTAACAAATTTACTATATCTAAAAGACATCTTAGTCCAGGGAGAAAACTAAATCTGTAGCATGTAAGGAGAAGTTTTCTGTGATTGGTATATTCAGGTTTCTAACCAGCTGAAAAATTCAAATACATGTCCTTTAAAGGTTAAGTTTAAACCACACTACAGAAAGGAGAGAAAAGATTTATATGATCACATATAAGCAATGGAATCAGCAATATGAGCACTTTTCACATCTATACAAATCAAATGTAATAATCTCCAGAACATTAAGGAAGTTCATCCCTTAATGAAAATGAATGAAAAGAAATTATTCACCCACTGTTCTATGCCCTGGAAAGAGAATGTCCTGCCGGACTCAAAAGGGTATCACAATATCACTCAGATTTTCAGCGATGAAGGCCCTCCAAGGATCTAATGATGTTAATATTTTCAGTTTGTTTCCTTCACTGATAAACATTGTTAATAGATACCATTGCCTCTGTTTTCACCTTAAGTGATGATACTTAGCACAATTTGTTTCTTAAGAATGCCCCTTAGTTTGGTGGAAGGAATTTTCCTTCTTTATAAATATAGGATATTGTCTCATGAAACAAATTGGCATACTCTTTCAGTGAAGTGAATAGACAAATTAGGTCTCTAAAATTTTAAAGGAGTCACTGCCCCAATTATCTTAGGAACAATGATAATCACTAATACAAAATTAAAATAAGAAAATTAAGCCAGGTATGGTGGCTCATATCTGCAATCCCAGCACTTTAGGAGGCTGAGGAGGGAGGATCAGTTGAGGTTAGGAGTTGGAGACCAGCCTGGGCAACATAGTGAAACCCCTGTCTCTACAAATTTTTAAGTATTAGCTAATATTTTAAAGTTGGCCAGGCATGATAATGCATGACTGTAATCTCAGCTACTAGGGAGACTGAGGCAGGCTACAGTGAACTATGATTGCACCACTGCCCTCCAGCCTGGGTGACAGAGTAAGACTCCCAACTCAAAAAAAATAAAGAAAGAAATAAAGAAAAAGAAAGAAAGAAAGAAAATTAAGAATTTGTTGAAAATTGTTTTACTACAATGCTAGACTGCATGTCTTGTGCCTGTACTCCCAGAAACTCAACAGGCTGGGGCGGAAGCATTGCTTTACGCCAGCAGTTGGAGACCAGCCTGGGCAACAGGGCAAGACCTCGTCTCTAAAATAATACAAGGCAAGCTGAGCCAGGAGGATTGCCTCAGCCCAGAAGTTCCAAGTTGGTCAGCTATGATAGCCCCGCTGCACTCTAGCATGGATAACAGAGCAAGACACTGTGCCTTATTTTTTATTTTATTTTATTTTATTTTAACTACTTAATGCCTATTTATTTATTTATTTATTTATTTATTTTTGAGAGAGAGTCTTGCTCTGTAGCCCAGGCTGGAGTGCAGTGGTGCGATCTCAGCTCACTGCAAGCTCCACCTCCCAGGTTGAAGCTATTTCCCTGCCTCAGCCTCCAGAGTAGCTGGGATTATGGGCGAACGCCAACACGCCCAGCTATTTTTTATAGTTTTAGTAGAGACAGGGTTTCACCATGTTTGCCAGGCTGGGCTCAAACTCCTGACCTCAAGTGATGCACCTGTCTCGGCCTCCTGAAGTGCTGGGATTACAGGTGTGAGCCACCTCGCCCAGCCTACTGATGCTTGAAATGTGAGGTTTCATTAGGGAAAAATTTTCTTGTTGAATTTCTAACATGAAAAAATAATAGATTTAGCTGTAGATTAAATTAATGGTCTTGATAGTTTGGTACAATGAAATAAATGAAATGAAGTTGATAACTGAGAAGAATCTTTGATGCTTTTGAACAATTTAAATAATGCAAATATTTAATATATAAAGACATGAAAAAGTTCATTACGTTATTATTTATTTATTTATTTATTTATTTATTTATTTATTTATTTGAGACACAGTCTCACTCTGTTACCTAGGCTGAAGTGCAGTGGTGCAATCTCAGCTCACTGCAACCTCTGCCTCCTGGGTTCAAGCAATTCTCCTGCCTCAGCCTTCTGAGTAGCTGGGATTACAGGCACACACCACTACACCCAGCTAATTTTTGTATTTTTAGTAGACACAGGGTTTTACACCATGTTGTCTCAAAAAAAAAAAAACTATAAAAAATTAAAATTATATGTTCAAGTAAATTAAATATATAATAATGAAAAAGGAGGCCTAGCATGACTAACTGCATTTTACTCCTAACCCTTCCTACCCTGTGGTGATATCTTTCAGGCTAACTGCTTTTTCTCATTTCTGCACATAGGCCAAGCTATCTATGGGAGGGATTTAGCTTACAGTTTAACTTTAAAGCACAGATGACAATAATTCCTTCCCCAAACTGTCTCCTGAGAAGATAAAGAGGTTGTATGCACAAGTAACAGTGTTATGTTGAAGATTTATAAGAGCATTGTGATCTGACAAAGAACAAAGAATTTTCACCATCCCCTTGGGCTCTCACTGCAGCTCATAAGTCTGTCATTGTCAGACCTCTTCACCTCAACCACCTCCTTCTTCCTCCCTTCCCTAACATACAAGGAGCCTGAAAATTGTATTAATTTAAGATGGTTCTTTAGGATATTAGTTCACCATCTTCAGTTTGGTGGCTCCCTGGATTAAAGTCACCTTCCCTGCCCCTCCCTATACCTTGTCCCTGGACTTACTGGCTGTCATGCAGCAAGCGGTGAGTGCAGTGAGCCGAGATCACACCACTGCACTCCAGTCTGGGTGACATAGTGAGACTCTGTCTAAAAAAAAAAAAAGAGAAGAGAGAGAGAGAGAAATTTCATTTTAGAACCAGACAAATTAAATGGGAGACTTACTTCCAATGAGACCTAGAAATTTCTAAATTTCTAAAATTTCTGTAAGAACAGAGAAAATTGCCTCCATTGAGGAAGTAAGCTGAGGGAGGTAAACTGACACGTTTTCTGAATTGAGAAATATTGAGGAGGCTTTGTCTCTTTCGCCTCCAACTGCTCCTTCTCCTCCTGCCCCTGTGCCTGCATAGTTTTTCTTACCTGAGCCTTCCTGTCCTGCCTTGCCTCTTCTTCCATCACCATCACCCGAGGAAAGTCCCCAGGGCTCTGGCCCCTTCCCTGAAACTTCTGTTCTGACAGCCCCTTTCAAGGTAAAACCCACAGGAAGAGGGGAGCCTACCATTGTGTATACCGCTTCACCAAAATGTGAATTAAGAATATTATAAAAGACTTCCATGGCCTAAATGTAAATACATTTCACTCTTCTGTTTCTAAAGCAGGCTCCAAGATTCTACAGGGTTTGACAGAAAATTTGACTTAACTGTTGAAACCTTTGAGCCCAAATATTCTGACCTTTATCAATTAATTCACATGCTGGTGAAGAAGGCAAGGTCAGTAACTGGTTGCAAAAGGCAAATTGGAAGGATTTTCAAAAGAGACTGAAGCAGAACATGAAAGGTTAACATTTTAGCCAAATATCTCCATGTTGCCATTCCCCAGGTCCTTCCTAAAAACATAGATTGGAGGATAATTCAGCAATGTGAAGCCAGACAAATCTGTCTTTGCTTACCTAAAATGGTTTGAGAGCCAGGTATGGTAGCTCATGCCTGTAATCCCAGCACTTTGGGAGGCCGAGGTGGGAGGATCACTTGAGGTCAGGAGTTCGAGACCAGCCTGCCAACATAGTGAAACCCTGTCTCTACTAAAATACAAAAATTAGCCAGGTGGCTACTCAGGAGGCTGAAGCAAAAGAATCGCTTGAACCCGGGAGGCGGAGGTTGCAGTGAGCTGAGATCCTGCCACTGCAATACAGCCTGGGTGACAGAGCAAGACTCCATCTCCAAAAGAAAAAAAAAAAAAGAAAAAGAAAATTAGTAAGGTAGTAGAAATATAATGCACACGAGAATGATAATCATGAAGACAATCTCTATTCCAGAATAGTAAGGAAACCTATTCCATTAGGGAGCCAACTGAAAA